TTATTATTATTATTATTATTATTATTATTATTATTATTATTATTATTTTGAAGTAACTTCAGGAGACAGCAACAGACTAAATGAACTGTCTCTGTGAGAATTATACAGCATATAGAACTAACAGTTAATGCTGTTTTGGGGGGTGGGGGGGGTGATCAAACTGCCAATAATACTTTTTCTAAAAAGTTCTAACTATCCCCAGCAAGCATTATTTGAAAGAAGAGGGGTTCTGCAGTGTTTCTGCTGTTTGCTGAGCCTGGTAGTATTTCCCTCTCAGTTAATGCATTGGTTAATGGTAATTTGTAATGTTCAGTATTCTTATTTTATAGTGATAGAGTTCTTTAAAAACTGTACAAATTTAAGTTAATATCAGGCCCCTGCCAGAAAATATATTTCTTAAATAGTTTTATAACAGTAAAATGTGTAACTGTTTTGATAATTGCTTGGCTTATTATATCATCAATTACTAGATCAACGATGTAGTCTTGTTTCAAATTATATAGGAGAGGAAGCTGAGGAAATGGAAATTAGAAAGGCAATATTGTTGCCCTTTTCATTACACAGTGGTTAGATTAACATATTGCCTTCATACGACTTACCTGACAAGTCACATTAAAACGTCTGTAGTGTGTCTACCATAGTCTGACTCATGTTTTCAAAAGCAAAAAAAATAAAAAGCAAGCTGTGCTTCAAACCAATTAAAAAGTATTTCTTTTTTTCCTCCAAAAAAAGAAGATAATCTCTAAGAGCAACTGCTCTTCTAACAGAAATTGATTTATTTGATAGCAAAAAAATTGTTTAACAATGCTAGAGTATCATTTTCATATTTTCAAACAGATTTACTATATTTTAGTTGTTATAACAGTTCTGTATCATGTCCATTTTGCCCAGGAATTAAAATAGAAAAATGGTTTGCCTAAGACATAACTTACTAATTCACAGCCAGAAGATGGTTTTAACAAGAACCATCTAATTTATGGTTCATATTCCTAACCATTCCTATTGCTAAATGGGAAATCCAGAAATGTATGCTCTAACCCGCTTTTACTATCAATGGATTAAATATATCTAACCTTTTCTTCAACAGCGACCCAAACAATGGTTAGAATAAGCCCAGGGGTGGGATCTGACAGGGTTAACTACCAGTTCGGTCATTTAGGAGATTCGGTGATTTATGATGTGCTTCTCTGCATGCTGCCCCCTGTAAATCTTTATCAGCATGCTGTGTGCAGAGAAGCAGCCTTTCCAAAAGCCCTTTTTTCCTGTTTTTTTAACTGCAGCCGTGCCTCACACGGCAGCTGAAGTTTAAAAAATCAGGAAATAAAAGTCAGGTAAGAGCCCAGGTGGGCAGGTGGGCAAAAACATCAGCAGACGGTTCTATGTCTGCTACTCTTCAGAGCTACCGGTTCTACAGAAGTGGACAGAACCAGTAGAAACCCACCCCTGGATAAGCCTGATGCTCTGCTGTCAATGGCTCAAGACTTGTGGCTTCCACTGCTGTCAGAAGAAAATATAGGTAGCTGAGGGATGAACTGTGGTGTTCTTGGTGTTTCCTGAGCCCGGTTGCTTGATTGCAGATGTAGGTAATCTCAGTGCTAGTGAATGTGGCCTTTGGTCCCTATTTGTATATAGTAGTTTGTGTCAGTACCTTATATTCAGCATATACCCCCACTAATACTGGCAAACCACCCCTACCCATAGTTCTGGGAAATTAGGAAATTTAGGATTCAGTGTCATCAGGAAAATACACTGCTCAAAAAAATAAACGGAACACAAAAATAAGACATCCTAGATCTGAATGAATGAAATATTCTTATTAAATACTTTGTTCATTACACAGTTGAATGTACCGACAACATAATCACACAAAAATTATCAATGGAAATCAAATTTAGCAACCCATGGAGGTCTGGATTTGGAGTTACGCTCAAAATCAAAGTGGAAAAAAACATTACTGGCTGATCCAACTTTGATGTAATGTCTTTAAAACAAGTCAAAATGAGACTCAGTAGTGTGTGTAGCCTCCACGTGCCTGTATGACCTCCCTACAACCCCTAGACATGCTCCTGATGAGGTGGTGGATGGTCTCCTGAGGGATCTCCTCCCACACTTGGACTAAAGCATCCCCCAACTCCTGGACAGTCTGTGGTGCAACGTGGCGTTGGTGGATGGAGCGAGAGATGATGTCCCAGATGTGCCCAATTGGATTCAGGTCTGGGAACAGGCAGGCCAGTCCATAGCATCAATGCCTTCATCTTGCAGGAACTGCTGACACATTCTAGCCACATGAGGTCTAGCATTGTCTTGCATTAGGAGGAACCCAGGGCTAACTGCACCAGCATATGGTCTCACAAGGGGTCTGAGGATCTCATCTCGATACCTAATGGCAGTCAGGCTACCTCTGGCGAGCACATGGAGAGCTGTGCGGCCCCCTAAAGAAATGTCACTCCACACCATTACTGACCCACTGCCAAACCGGTCATGCTGGAGGATGTTGCAGGCAGCAGAATGTTCTCCACGGCATCTCCAGACCCTGTCATGTCTGTCACGTGCTCAGTGTGAACCTGCTTTCATCTGTGAAGAGCACAGGGCACCAGTGGTGAATTTGCCAATCTTGGTGTTCTCTGGCAAATGCCAAACGTCCTGCATGGTGTTGGGCTGTAAGCACAACTCCCACCTGTGGACGTCGGGCCCTCATACCACCCTCGTGGAGTCTGTTCCTGACCATTTGAGCAGCCACATGCACATTTGTGGCCCGCTAGAGGTCATTTTGCAGGGCTCT